GAGGAAAGTAAATGGTATAAAGAGCAATACAAATTATACTCAAATTCTTGTACCATAGGATATAAGTTTCTTTGTGTTTTCCAGAGGGGAAGAACTTCTCAAATGGCTAGTCATTCTACTGCTAAAAAAGTTCCAAAAGAGGAAAGGGAAATGCTTCTACTAGTGCACAACCAGTCTCTGCAGCTAATACCAATCAGAATTCTCAAACTCAAGCCTCTGCAAGCATTGCAGTTGTTGCCAGTATGGACGGTCAAAGCCTTACCAATAGTTTCAGCATGAGATTCTGAGTAATGTTGAAAGCTTCATCTTCTAGCTGTTGGAATTATTACATATGATACACCATTAACTCCTATTGTATTACTTACTAAAAACTCAATGTAACTTTTGTTGCGTGGTGCTTCATGGATGTCATTTCAAATTTGCTACCTACTCATTTCTTTTGGACATGCACTTGGAACTATGTTAGCATTTTGTAATCCTCACCATCTAATTGCAATAATAGACTTAGACAGTGTTCTATGCAGGTTTTGATTGCAATAGCTAGTATTTATCATATGATGTTGGATTTTGGATTGCACCATGTATTATGTAGATTCTTATCTACTTTTGTCTACTTCTAGTTTTGTTGATATTTAAATTCTTCATGTATTACTCATTTTGCGTTGAAGCACATTGTTGGATGACAATGATAATAGTTGCATTGAATCACCATTCCTGGAGCGGTACAAATTCTTGAATGACAACTTTCACATACTTTTTCAATTTTCACAAACACCTCCACACTTATCGCTTTTGTATCCCACCACCCTATTACTTAAACATTTATTAAAATAACATGTTATAGGAAATAAAAAGTGCATTTCTAGAATTAAATTCCTTTCTCTCTCATGATACTAGTATTTTAATCCATCTTTTCTGATTTGGGTTGACAAATTACTCAAATTTCTCAAATAAGGGAGGTAAGTGATATTTCCAGAAGTTAAGAAGAGGCAAGTGTAACTGACAAAACTTCAGGGAGGTTTCTGAAATTATCCCTATTTTATAACCTCTTACACTCTTTAGCATGTAAGATGAGTTAATAATAGTTCACACGTGAAGATGCTCCAAATTTATGCCAAAAGACACCACAGCACACTGAACAAGACATGTAAATTTTATCTACCCTACTAGAGCTAGACAAAAACAAAGCTCAAGAAATTCAGTGAAGTGCACGTGTGACAAGAACTAGATCGACATATTATAAGATTGCCTAAAGGCAGGGGGTATCCTAAGTTTGAATGCTCCAAGAAATGTTTAGCATCTTTGAGAAAGCTTGTCCACAACGAGAGTACACTCCAACCATATACAAAAACAAAGCGGACCAGCTAAGGACAGGCCCAAGAAATTAATTTCTTGGTTTGGGGATGACAAAAACGTTACCCTTTCTTGATGTATTTGGGGCTATTTTATGATTTAGAAGTTGTGCAATTGTTAGTACCAATTGAGTCATACAATGCATGTACATATATAACAAATGTACCGTATTCAATCAAATATATCGTTAAAAGAAAAACATATTTTTTTTACTTGCAAACAACCCAACCTATCGAATCCAAATTAAACATGTGTGAACCATCAATTACATGGTCGAGTTGTAAAAAAAATTCCCTTCCTCTGATTGACAATAAATTTAGAACCAATACTTTGAAGTTCCAACCTGCGACTTGCAAGGAACTGGATAGAAATGGACAATTCCATAGCAAATATTTATGACTCATTTCCAAATCATACACTTTAGAGAATACAAATGTTTAATATTACCCAAAAATGCAGATTGTTGTGGCGTGATTATAATATATACGTGTTCAAACCAAGAAGTTTTCTGCACACTTGTCCAAAGTTGATCCTTATCAACAAGATCCCTATGGCCACATAGATCCACAAAAAAGGTTTTATTATATATAGTATTTGCCATTGAGAAGGTTCAAAATCAGCCGCCATTGGCAGAAGATCACGAGGTATATCGGAAAATGCTCTCAACTTTTTTTTTTTTTTTTTTGCATAAATTATCATTTTTATTATTCACCCAATAGGAGGATATAGTTACAGAACCCTATCTCTGCGAAAAGATGGCTGTGCGAATTTGTCCATCCGATATTCACCCCTAGCCATTGAAGGCAACCCCGCAATACTATCATACATACAGACCGAATGAGAAGGATGAGTGGAGCCTATATTGGCCAATACATCCGCGACCTTGTTTGCCTCCCTATAACAGTGAGCGATTTGGAGCCCACCCTGAGTCATTTGCTCAATCTTCTCCACCTCACCCCTGACTGACCACGGGCATCGGTAACTTCTCGCAAAAATCCGTTGTACCAGCAAGGAGTCTGTCTCGACCACCAAATTACCCATGAAACCCCGTTGCTCACACAATTGGAGCCCTATCAGCAGCGCCCTTGCCTCCGCTTGAACGCTGGTACACCTCCCAAGGTATCCGGAGAACGCAAACACCATGCACCCCTCAGAATTCCGAAGGATCCCCCCACCACCACTCACCCCTGGGTTACCCTTTGAGCACCCATCTATATTGAGCTTTACAACGCTAGGCCCCGGAGTACGCCATCGAATTTGTCGGATGAAGAAAGCATCTGGACGGCATTCCACCAGCTCCAAGAACTTAGGCCACTCCAACACCCGTTGAAACTCCCCGAACCGTAGCTAGTACGCATCCTTTAATTCCCGGAAGATGGCATGACAGACACCAACAGGGTTAGGCACTGTACTGTGGAACACAGCTTTATTCCTAGCCTTCCAAAGATGCGAAAAGCTGAGAATGGGTACGAGCCGGAACACGAACCTCAGCCGTTCCGACTTCACCTGCCTGAGCCACCACCTACCCATCCACCCTGGGACATGTTCTACATTCATAGCCAGACCACATGGCAGTCCAAAAAACATCCACACAGCTGCCGCAAGATCTCCCTCGACGAACAAGTGTTGAAGGGACTCAATGGTCGACTTCTGGCAACAAGAGCGCTTTGACGGAAGATGAAACCTGCACGCCGCCAACACGTCATCCAGTGGTAGGCGATTAAGTAATAAACGAAGCATAAAGAAAGACACCTTTACGGGAACACTGGCATGCCAAACCTGCCGGAATAAGAGAGGCGATGGTTTTATCTCCCGGACCTCGCTATAAGCGGAGGATAACGAGAACTGACCTGAACTCATTACTGTCCAAATCATTCTATCCGGGGAAATCCCACCTGGGGGACTCACCGCTAGCACCTGCTTGACCATGTCGAGTGGTAGAATTTCAGCTAGCCTCCATGTGACCCAGCCCCCATTCGCCAATACGTCGGTAAATGTGACATCCCCCTGAGCCTCCACTCTAAGGTAGAGGGCAGGAAGCTATCAATCATTTTCGTCGCCCATTTTCAGCCGACCCAGTATCTGATTTCCAACTTCTTCATGTGATCCCTGACCTGAGCGCTGAGATTGATAATGTAGGCTTGGAGGCAGCCCCCTCTTTGGAGGAGGTCAAGAGGGTGATTTTTGAAATGGATGGTGACAGTGCCGCGGGCCCTGACGGGTTTTCGGGGAAATTCTTTACAACTGCATGGGAGGTGGTGGCTCACGATGTGTACAGGGCGGTCTTGAGTTTCTTTTGTGGTGCGGAACTCCCGCGTTTCATTACGGCAACGTCCATTGTCCTTCTTCCTAAGGTCATGAACCCGAAGGATTTCACTCAATTCCGTCCTATCAGTGTCTGCAATTTCCTGAACAAAGTTATATCTCGTATCTTGGTGGGACGATTAGCAGGTATTCTTCCTCGGATTATTTCTCTCCAACAAAGTGGCTTTGTTAACGGTAGGTCTATCTCGGATAATTATTTGTTGGCATAGGAATTGATGTCTGATATGGGTAGGAGGTGCAGGGGGGAATTTGGCAGCATTATTTAATCATATTAACTCCGAGTTCTCAATTTAATTCGACAGCAGATTAGGGGAGTCTGCTTGAGAATTGATTAGCCAAGTATTTATCCCCTTTTGCTTAGTCCGCTATTTCATCCCTTCTCGCTATTGGTCTTTCAACTTAACAAAATTTAAGTCAGTTCGAGGAACACTTTGTGCTGTCGTGGTTGCTACACTGATCTAGATGGTTGTAGCATTTTATACATTCATAAATTCTAGGAGAACGGGACTATGGGCCAGAATAATGGAATTGTACTTTGTTATACAAATAACAAAATAATTTCATTCAAATGAAGACGCACAAATAGCTTTTTTTTTTTTTCCGGAAACGATAGAATTTTATTATAATAAGGAAGTAAAATTACATAGGTTGAGCAAGGGCTCAAATTGGTCTTTACAAAAGTGGACTAGGCCACTGATGAACTGAAATTTCATCCTCAAAGTATAATCATAGCTAATCTACTCAGTTTAGTACTGAGTCTATCCATAGCAACAGGCAAACTATCAAATGAGCATTTCCTAAACATTGAGCAAAAGTCTTTTATGTCGTCCAAGTGAGTTGCCAGCCTTAAGTTACCAGAACCTTGATAGCGTATCATATTAAGAACCTGACTGCATGGAGTTCGAATATTGACATGCTGCCAACCTTTGTCCTTGAGCTTTTGAAGACGCACAAATAGCTGCAAATATCAATATCTTAAAATCTGGATCAAAGAATGAGCTGAAAAAACTTCGGGTTCGTGGTTTGATTGGTTCAATTAATTCAATCGATTTGACTGATTTAATCCTGGTTGAATGGTTTAATAATTTTTTTATTTATTTTAGTATGAAAAAATTGGAAATAGCTACTATAGAACGTTAATGAAAATGTAATGAAAGACTGGACCAATTGAAACTTTCTTAAAATAAAAATAACAAGGAGATAAGAAGTGTCAAATTTAAATTCTTACTTCATTACATCAATCAATTACATATAATTAAGGTTTCTTAGCCCCTTAACCAATCCTTGGGCAGCGGGCAGATGCCCAAAGTCATCTGTTACCAATATAAAACCCTAACTTGCCGGACACAAATAAACCTCCCCGCCCTCTTCTTTTGCGCCTTGCATAAGTGATCTTTTCCATCTGTCTCCAAATGATCTTACTCAGCAGCTGTAAAAATCATTAGGGTATTCTTCAGAGATATTGTGCTCCAAGATTTCATGACCAATGCTAGGGGTAAACTATAGTTCTATCTTCCAAGCTTTTCTTGACAAATTTTAGTGGCCTGATAAAGTACTTGGCAAGCTTTCAAAAAATGGTGGTTTTGCAGAAGTGATACTTTTTCCTTAATCTAACGGAAACATTCAGTTGGGGTTTTTACTTTTGTTCGGTTTCAAAACTGTCTGCGTCACTTTACTTTGTAATATTACAAGAATTTTGGCTGCAGCTGAAGATATCTTGTCCTCCCAGAATGGGACCTTCATGCAGAAGAAGAACAAGAAGCACAAGAAAGTCGAGGAGAGCAACGATATGCAAGAAGAAGAATCATGAATTGACCGACCAAGAAACTCCTAGTAAAGTCTCAAATAGTCCTTTGAATCTTGATGGCATAGATTTTGGAATGATTGATGCTTCTAACAGCCCCTGTGCTACTCCAAAAGCTGAGAAATTTCGAATACCAGAGATAACTACTTGTCCTCCTGCACCAAAGAAAAGGCGAGTGCTTAAAAGGTGTTCTTCTCTACGAAGAAATCCAATAGCTTTCTTTGCTCCACCAGATTTAGAGCTCTTCTTTTTCGTCTCACTTCGTGATTTTTCAGCTTGAAGGATGAGTAGTACCGTAATCAATAGAGTAAGCAGATCATGACATTAGCTTCAAACTTGATACCTTTATTATGCCTTGGCATATGCTTTCATGTCATTTTGACTCTCTTTTTTGGGGGTTGGGAATCTTATATTCAAATGGCTGAGTGAGAATTGTGTTTTTGAGTGATTTTTGGAAGTTTTCAATTTTTTTGACTAGCTTAGGAATTCTCTCTCTCTCTCTCTTTCTTTTATGTACATTCTTCCTTTTGTGCTGGTTGTTATAAGTTTAAGTGCACTAATGAGGGAATGTCTTTCCTTTTTCCTTTTACTCTGTGTTTGACAATGTATTTCTCACATGACTAGTTATGAATGAAAGAGTACAATCTGTAGGCGTTTGCTGTGTAAAATAACCATTTACTCAATGGAAACTATGGATAAAATGTTCACAAAATCCAAGCTCTTCTTACCATTTAAGTATCATAAATTTATTGTTCACCAATAAATCAAGCTAATCTTCCTCCTGAATTTCATTAAATTGTTATTTTTTTTGGGGGGAGGGGGTTTGGGTTTGAGCCCATTAATCTTGCGCTACTAGGGTTCCCCTTACACCAGAAAAAAAAAAAAAAAACTAAATTAAATGGTTCTGCAGCCCCCAGAACTGAGAAGTCATACTCCAATAAGAGGGTCATTACTCAATTAATAGCTCTACTATGAGGGATACAACGGCCCCTTTCTCACTTTATTTTTCCCTTTTTTTAAGCCTTTCCCGCCTCCCCAGTTCCCTGGTTCGATCGGTCCCTTTCTCACATTGATACAACTCCAACATAACAATGAAATGGTGTCCTATTCTACACAGATCCACTAGCTTCTAAAAGGCTTCCAAAAAAGGCTACTGCTACTGCTATTGCTGCATATATTCCACTTTTATGGACTGGAATGAGGATAAAACGTTTTGGCTAGAGAGCATTTTTTCGCAATATGCTTCAATTTTTGGGGATTGTTTCTGACATCAGAAGACAACTTTTAGGTGAGATTGGAAAATAAACAGAGCTGAAAGCGAGAGTTAAATTCCTTGCTTTTTGCAGTATATGGGAGCAAAAGACTGTTAGGTGGATGATATCTTTATCCTTGAAAGGTGAGATGATTGTGTCATATGGTGGGCATCTTATTGTCTTGACCTTAGCCAGCAAGATTAAGGGAATCCAATGAAGCGGCTCGTGCGGGTTGTGATCATTGTGAGAATCTCAAGGCATTTTACACGATTTTTTTTTCATTCTTTAGTTATTTGTTTCCGGTGATGATCAACAACTATCATGAATGTATTCTTTACATTATTGGCTTCATTTTCTTTATTCTCTACTCGTACAATTATTGGTTATATGGATGACAAATTTCTGTTGTGCATATGATGCTATACGCGTCCGATTTTGGATTTTCATTTGGAGCTTCATGCATTTAATATTATAGCTTACTCTCACGGTTTGACAGATGTGATATAATACTTTACCGTTATTTGTCGCAAATTTGTCCTCCAAGTTCTTAAAACATCACGATCAAAGAGGCATTAGTCGAGTAGTTAAAGTTAGAATTCTAAAAATCAAAGGTTCTCACTTCTAATCTCTTCAGTTCCTTTTCCGTTTCTTAAATCCTATCTTTTCCCTACTAAAAAACTAAAAATCATGATTTGTTGGCAATAAGCAAAATATGGTTATAATATGTGTTTCCTTAATGTTTTCGGCCATATTTTGCCATTTTAAACTTTTTTTAATGAATAACCTTTTGGATTTTTATTTTTTAACAAGATAACAACGTTAGCTTGTGTTAATAAACATCATTAGTAGTTGCATGTTAATGGGGCAGAGTTTATACAGACACATCATAGATTTAATATACTTTTATGGGTTTGTTGCCGAAATTTCAAATTGTACCTTATGTAGACCGAAACGTAATAAGAGACTTATGAACATGGGAAGGGTTGAATTTTGTATAATTTCTACCAACATGCAAACCCAAATCTAAAGGCCAAATCCTATACACAGACTATCATATGCATATAAACTAAGTGGATGTAGTTTTTTTATTTTTTTTTCTTTTTGGGTTGGAAATGGGTGTAGTTTAACTATGTGAAACTTCATATAATGTAGATGAAGATTTAGAAGATATACAAATTAGTTGACTTTAATTTATGCTTTCAATTCTTAATTTTTATGTAGAACATTCCTTAATGTCGATTCTCGTACTTGAAAATGGTGATTGGATTAGATTTATGGTGCTTTTGAATTCCATCCTACTGCTAACCTATTGTCGTATAATATATAATTTGGAAACTCAGAATGTCACAGATGCCGTGACTTTCAGGGTTACACCACTGTTAGTCACTAAAATCTAAATCTATCATTATCCATTTTTCTTATTTCAAAAATTTAGTTACTTTCAGCCCCTTTAAATTTTAGACTCTTTCATGAGTATTTAATTACATCCCAAGCAATACAAGTAAAAGGTAAGAAAATTTTACACAGTTACATGCTTCCAAAATCATAACATTTGCGATGTAACACATTACGTCACATTATAGAAATATCAAGTAATACCAATTAGGTAACCAGACCCATATGGATCTAGCTGTAGTTTCTTTATTTTTGAGGGTTAGGGTCTTGCATGAGTATAAATTTAGTAGGTTTTAGTTTAGATTTAATCCTTCCAACTAACTCTACTTATTGACGTATCTATATGTAAAATATTTTAGAGCAGTGTAGGCTCACTGGCAAAACAAGTAACTTCTTTATTTTTCGGGTTAGGGTCTTGCACGAGTATAAATTTAATAGGTTTTAGCCTAAATTTAATCCTTCCAACTGACTCTACTTATTGACATACCTAATTAATTTTATGCAAAATATCTTAAGAGTAGTGTAGGCTCGCTGGCAAAACAAGTAACTTGTCCTGCCCCAGTACTATGTCAATCATAATGTAGGCCTTGTATACCATTTGCTGTATCAAGAGGACTCATTCCATTTTGCAGCCATTACGTATTCAATATTTCTCCCTTTCTTTATAAATTTTTATTTTGGATACTTTACACATAAAGTTCCCATAGTTTACCACTATACAGCTTGAATTTGCATTTATACACATTGCCCCCATTTTTCCAATTTTCTTCTTTGGCAAGCATTCTTTACTGTTCATCCAAAAATACTATAATTTTGCACATTTTCAATGGAACTATATGAATAAGACTAGCCTGTAAACCATGGCTCAAGTTAAATTTGAGCCAAACAAACACGAAGATGTCTGCAACCAGCTTGACTCATTAAAAGATATAAGCGCATCATTCCTCATTTTCAATCATGATAATATCATCCCCGCATAAAATAACTGGATAAGTATGCTTTTTAGTAATTTCATTCTTGAAATGAGTGGCAGGTTGTGATTTGAAATTTATTTGAAAAAATAAATTAGGATGCAAAGTATCTAAAATAAAATTTGATGGTGCAAAGTAAGAATCAATGCAAACTTTAAAGGGATCAAAGTGGAATTAGTCCACATCAAGATATAAAAGATCTGGAAAGTTTATGCATGGTTACCTTGGGATCTTGGTGTTTACTGGTTTGACAGTTTTCTGTTATTAAGTATTGTTTCCTATTTAGACATATCAGTTCGGAAAATTGAAATGGCTACTCAAAAAGATATTTTGCAGTAATATTATTTCCATTTTATTCCTCGAAGGTTTCTCTTGCAGTAAGGTGTTTCATTTTAGTGTGGTGTCACTTAAACCCTATCAAAGTTTTGCAAATTTCTTTATTGACTACATTGTTTTAGTCACCTGTAAATATACGTGAAAATGCAAGCATATAGACAGCTTAAAAAAAAGAAAAAAAATATCATGCATATTGACAGTCATTATGTTCAATTCCATTGAGTCCATGTAATGATTAGTGCACTCTTTGCCAAGAATAGACTGTTCAACTTCTACCTTTTCATGCATTTGTGCTATCAGATTTTACCATTATTATACTGTTAAAAGACACCAATGCATAAGCTAAAACGGCATAAAAAATAAGAAGAATTTTAGAAGATCTTAAGCTAAAATAGCAAAGCTTTTGTCTTTCGACATGGTGCTCCATGTATCCTGCTAGGAAATGGACAATCATTACCTTCAAATGCTTGATGAAATGAAATAAAGTGAGACTAGTGGCTAAAGCTTTAACTTTTCATATTTTACCTGCAAAAAGGGTTTAAGAATACATATAGTTGTAGACAGGATATGCAATGTGACTGTCACATTAATTAAAAACCTTGTCTTTCAATGATGGTCATCGCATCCTTTTGACATTCTCGTGGACCATTCTTGTTGGACATTTTCATATTTAATCTCATTCGAAATTCCTAACGCTGGGCTCAAATCTATTAACCTATGGCATGGTAGCAAATATATCTTCTCAATTAATAAGCTAATGCAAAACACCAGTTAACAAACTAATGTAGAATTCAAGACCTTTGATTCAAATTCCCCTATTCTTTCCCCGCTTCTTAAGTTTCATCTCTTCCTTGCTGAGAAAAGATTTTTTAAAAGAAAAATGCTAATGTAGAATATAAGGACAAAATCCTTCTCATATCAATATTGTTAACCAAAAGAAGGGACAAAGAACATTGTTGCCCAGTTATCAAGTCTTATCCACATGCATTATGCTACCATGACATTAAGTGCTGCTCTTTCATTTTTCGCTTTACATAGCAAATTATGCTACCGGGTCCAAATAATTCTTGGGAGTATTTATGCATAACTGAATATGGACATTACTTTCTGCCTTCACAAATCTGAATTTCTACAAACTTTAATATGAGGAAAAAAATATTTTTGACTATATATATTTGCCTAAAATCTCATATGCAATATACCGTTCTGATCTCATAGTATTCCGTCTCAATTATTGAGGCTTTACTTGACTTTAGCTTTTTAAAACTCCGGCTAGATAGCATTACTTTATTGAAAACTTTTAATGCTCGAAAGAAGTCCGGTCAAAATGTGTACATGTTGTACGAAATCGTAGTACACAAAGTAAAAAGTAAAAGTTTTTGTATAACTACCCAAACTTTTTTTTTTTTTGTAATTGACGGTGCAATTTCTAAAAGGAAAAATCATTCAAAACGTCATTCACATTTTCTCAAAACAAATTTTTTTAGTCCTTTGCTTTTAAAATGTTAACTTTACACTCTTTACAAAATCAAGTCAGTCAAATTTAGTTACAACCTAAGTTTTAAATCAATTTTTAGCCTGAATCCACTATGTAACTCGTGCAAGATAATTTTTTTGTAGGGCAAAAGGATCCAATTCCATTTGTAATTAAATAAATAAATTGGTCCACATTCCTTTTTGCCCATAAATACATAAAATCTAATCTT